TCTCTCTTTGATACTCTTTTCTGCATTAGGGCCCAAATCCGTGCCTTGCTACAGACATACTGGGTTTCAGAGATTGAAAGCTGAAGCCAAAAAAAGATTTTCTGTTTGTTTAACAAGTCTTTATTTCCAGATATCTCTATTTATACTATGTGGTCAAGGTGCATTATAGTCTTTTTAATCGTAAATTTAAATTGGGAGTTTATAGCTTAGCCTCACTACTGGCTGGACCTGGAGAGATGGGAGCTGGAACAGCCTCACCTCTGTCAGTGGAAATTAAACAAAAGGTATTGTGTTATGCTCACAGTAAAAAGCTTGTAAGACAAATTTTAAAGGATGAAAGCTTCAGCCAAGCATTAAAGTTATCTTATAAAAATCACAATAACATTTTCAATTAAATGCTTTTATACCTATGAATTTTCATGTCATATTTTTACTACTAATATACCCAGACAGACTCAGCAAATCTCTTACACTGTGCTTCAGACAGAAAAAAGATTCTGCAGAGAAAAGAAAGCAGGGTGAGTTAGACACCAATGCCACAGAAGTACCTAGGACCAAACTGTCCATCATTACATTTACAGATAGTTTGTCGATTTTAATCAACAGGGCAGATGAGAAAACAGTATCTGCCATACTTGGCAATTAATTTCATTTGTAGAAAATTAGATAAATAAGAGCTACTGAATATAAGCACTCAATAACCACTACCATGAGGACATGCACATGTTAGAACAGCCACTGACTGCATTGTTAAATGCAAGGATGCAAGGTTCTCAGGACAAATTATGAAGGAACTAGTTACTCAACAGCAACTTATAGAGCCAGCTGACTGCGTGGCTCCAGAAACACTAGTGGTAACACAAGGGAAGGGTAAACACACATCTAGGACCAGAAAAATGCAAGGCCTACCCTTTCAGCAACAGCACAGGTTTAGATCAACCTTAACTGGCCATAAAAAGTCATTTTAGGCACAGTGATAAAAGCAACATATTAACTGAAGATGAGTAAACAATAACTTTTACTTGAATGACTGTTGCCAGATACTACAGTTGTAAAAATTAACTATTTATAATGATAGAAACTTCACTGAAGAAAATATCAACTGTAGTGTTAAAGCAGAAATTATGCACATTGGGCAATTCTAAAAATCACTAACATACATGCAGGCTCACAAAAAATCTGATGATCTTGAAAAGTCTAATCCCTTTCATAGTATAAGTAACCTAAATCTGAGATACTTCAGAAAGATAACTATAAATACTATGAGCCAGAGAGATTAAGTACATTTCCCTCAGGTATCAGTGTCTCTCTGTTAGACCACCACAACATTTTGAAATTACTTGTCTAACTCGTGTAAATGTTAGAAACCAGGTAATTCAGTTGTTAATGCAACATAATTAGCATTTCATTGACGAAATCATACTTCCAATACGCCTGCACATCCCCTACCTACAAAGTTTTCTGAAACATTGCGTTTGTCCCTGTCTGCAGTAATATAACAGGTCTCCTTCTCCAAACACATGTGCAGCCCCTCACATAACAATTAGGGGAAAACTATTTTTCTACTTACCATGTAATCACATGACCATACTACGGAAAATATCCAATAGCGACTACACACCAAATAACCAAGATAGACATTTGCAGAATCTATCATCCCAATGCCAAAAAAAAAAAAGAAAAAAACCCCAAACCTAAACAAGCAAACAAAAAAAAAACCCCAAACACTGGCCAGTTTCAGTGCATTTAGTTATTAAATTTTGAAAGCAGAAATTCTTTCTGAGAAAGGGCAAGATACAGACAATAAGAAAGGAGGATGCATTTGAAGAAATAATAGCTGGCTGGAAAGACGATCTAGACAATATATATGTTTTCAACCTGCATTGTTCACACCACAGACAACAATCTGTTCAGTATTATCTTTCTAGTAGAGTGTACTTTCCACCGCAGACAAAGCCAGTGAAGTGCCTGAGATCCCACTTGTGCAAGTACAAGCAACCGAGTGAGTCCACCCAGGATTAATCCATGCTGCCATCTTGTGGTTACCCATATTAGAAACACTGACTTTTACATAGACTGCATTTTAAATACTATCGTATAAAATTAAGAAACACCAGTAATGTTCTCTGAATAGATAATGGCACAGACAGAAGGCGTTCCTTTTCTGGAAAATTACTGTTGTCTTTTCACAAATAACAAACCAAGCTGCAGATTTTTTTCTTCAGATTTTCAGAGTGGTATGAACGCAAAACTGAAGGGGTGCAGTTTATGTTTATTTATTCTTTCATGTATATGCTGACAGAGCTACAAACAAACGTAGTATATGCATGATATATAATATAACATATGCATGATATATAATATAACATGTACATATATCTTTTACAATTCTTTGTAAAGGCATGGAGAACAAATGTGCACCTCAACAAATTCGTAAGTAGAAAATGATAATGAGCATTTGTTGCTATTGTTCACTTACGTATTAAATGGAGCTAAAGTTGAAATATAAGCAAGAATGAGCTGTCTTCCCACCAAAGACCTAATTAGGCCTAATTAGGCTCCTCATCAAAGAGGTAGTTAGGCTGCTTTTTAGACAATCCTGTACGCTGCTGGTTTAAAATTGCATTCAGACCTTTAACCAAGGCAATCCTTCCTATCATTTCCCTTTCTCTGCTACATCCACAACCAGTCTGCCATCACCTACCCTACATTTTACCCTTCAGCCATTATTCATCATGTTCTTAAGTAGTGTCTATAAGAGTTAATTTTTAAGTGGGAATTTACATAGAATACAGAACGTAAAGACAAAATTTTGGGTGCACAAGCCTGTCCTCACCTTTGAAATAGAAGAAGCCATTTCCAAAGCTACGTACAAATCGAGAAAACACCTGATATTCTAACTTCATTACAATAACTGGTTGGTGAATCTAAGAGAAAAAGAGAACTGGTATTTACAGCGCAGGAGAGGGGGGTTTAGCTCTTATGGGACAGAAAGTTTGTTGTCTGTGGAGCACGAGGTAGCTGAAGATGGGACAATGATAATGTGACATAGAACCAGTATCTAACTTGAGTCCATAAATTTTCATGTCAAGGAGAAATAAGAAAGTCAGTTCTCAGCCCTTTTTCTTTTGACAATATTTTGTAGGACTTCTTCAGAGGTTGTTTCTCAAAAACACACTACTGGTAACAGGAAATACTGTATGTGTGAGTTCAGCCTCATCCATACTGATTTTTATTCTCACAAACAGGGTTTCCTACAAACTTTCAAACCACACCAAACAGAACTAGACTGGGCACGAGGCACAGCTCTAAGATTTCACAACAGATCTCCACATAGATTTTATACAAAGCTGTATCTAATCAGGTCCTGGTTAACAATAAGGGCTTCTGAGGGCAATTATTTACAAGCTGAATCACTTTGAGGATAACTTCGAGAAAGTTCTGCCCCTCACAACCAAATTGTGCACATTCAAGCATAGATAAACGAAACCAGTGCAAGCTTGCCTGATTTGGGTGTTTTACCAAGAAGTAGGTCCACAGAATTGGCTAATTTTTGAAGTTTGCTGCCCCTTTCTTCATGCTTTCTTCCCCACTACTCCTGAAATCCTCCCCACTACTCCTGAAATCCTTCTTTTGCCTGATTTCAGCAGACAGGACTGTAGTCTTCTCCTTTGGCTCTTTTCTCAATAAACAGTTACTGTTTAGCTTGGCTACACCACTGAAGTACTCCCTATTGTTAAGAAAACCTAGAGTAGAGTTTGTGTAACCTTTCAAGCTCTGCCATGTTATTCAAGTCAAAACCCCTGCCCAACAAACACTTATTTAGTACATTTAAAATTAAAGGTTTGGGGTAGAACCTAGTTTTACTGTGTCAACAGCACAAAAATACGAATAACTTATTTTGTTAGGAAACTTGCCTCTTGGAAAGCTGGCCTGGTTCATGATTTGGCAAGTGTCTAAAACTTGCAAGGGAAAATCGGTGTACTTCTAATTTTAAAGTTTAATTGTATTTTGCTAGAGGTGATTTAAACACAAATCTGGAGAGCATCATACTAAATTTATGACAGCCAAAACAGAAGTGGTAAAACACTTCAAAAACATCTATCACTTGTTCTGCAAATAATAAGAATGCACGTAGAAGAAAGTAACCCCAAATCATGGACTTAATGAACTTCTAGCCGAGGACACACCCTATATCCAAAGAAGGACGTCTGGTCTCCCGGCAGGGTCGGGAGGGGGAGATCAGGCTGAGCAGCGCCTCGTCGATCGCTGCAGCCCAGCCGCGCCTCAGACCGCCAAGATGGCGGCGAAGGCTGCCCGCGCGGGCCACGGCAACCACCGCCCTCCCCCTCCTGCCTCGCTGTGATTGGCTGCGATGGGACCAGGGGCTGACGAGGCGCTCGGTGATTGGGGTAGTCGTTTTGGCGCGCGGTGAGCGGCGCGAGGCTGCTCGTTGCGGGGTTGTCGTCTGCTTTTCTTACTGAGGGGAGTCGCCATCTCGTCTCGCCCCCGGCGGTCTCGGTATGTCCTTGCTCCAGCCTTTTCCCCAGCGGCGTCGTGGCACCGGCACCGGCACCGGCAGCGGTGCTCTGGGCGCCGGCTGGGAGGAAAGAACATGTCTTCTTTG